TTTGTTTACCACTGGCCAGCCATCAACCAATGGCTTAGCCAGGTGATCTCCGAGAAAAGGTTGTTCATGCCCGTGTCGGTGGTGCAGCAATGGCGCAACCATTCATTGGTGGGAGCTGAGTTCCAAAAAGTTTTGGATGAGTTCTTGAAAGACTATGAGATTGTCGAGCCCAAGACAGAGACTACCGAGCCAAATGACAAGGACCCAAAGCGCCCAGCACCCACTCCTTTGCCTTCACCAAGCAAGAAACCTCGCAATGCTTTGGATGCCTCTTTGATCTGTGAGGCAAACTCCATCACCCAAGCCATGCTGACTGAATGCCGCATTGGTTCCAGAGACCCACCAGTGTTTCTCCAAGTTCGCGCTTCCAATCACATCTACTTGGTGAACAAAGGAAGCAAAGAGTTTACAGCAAATGAGCTGCACATCGCAGGGTTTGGTCGGGGAAGCTTCCGCATTGTGAAGAATGATGCTGATTTGCCAGATGGGGCCATTGAGCTTTCCTTCAGTGGCCACACCGATGTTATCCACTTCAATGGTTCCCTCACAACAGTGGGAGAAGTGCTGAAAGAGCTACGCAATCGCAATCCCGATTGCAAAGTGTGCTATTTCAAATTGAAATTTGCTGAAGATGGGAATCCACATGCTTTTGAGCTGATTCGAACACACCGTGTAGTGTTTGTTCCCCGCCCAGAGGAAAAGACCAGCGAGATGAAAGAGATGAATGCTGCAGCCCGTGAACCATTGCAAGTGTGGAATGTGTCCCAAGCAGCCAACATCTTCTGGGTGATGAAATTTTCATCAGTGAAAGGCCTGATCCCAGTGAAGCCGGCTGTCTATTTGAAGGGCCATTGCTCCGTGGGGCCCGGACAAGCCTTGGTGATCAGCAAACCTTGAGTTTTGCACCTTCCCATTCTCCAAGATGAGAGCCAGAAGCATTGGGTGAATCATTTGGCCAAGGCATTCTAGAACATTGAAAATCCAGTCTAGAACATTGAAACCCATCCTAGGCATCAAACCCCATTTTAGAACATTGAAACTCATAGTCTGTATTTTTTGAGTTTATATACATAACATCATATCTTGTGTGTTTTGCAAGCTAGTGCCTGGCCGAGATTCGACAGATGGCTTCCAATACCATTTGGACATTTGGACATGCCCGAGAAAAAAAATGCGCTGTTCTGGATGTTGTGAGAGCTGTGTTCAAATGCGTTTTTTGTCTGAAAGTGACAAATGCTACACCAAATGGTTGTCATATTCTGGCCAGCCATCCTTTGGATGATCAGCCAAGATGTTGACCATCATCTGGTTTATTTGAGATCTTTTGGTTCAAAGCAAAACAACAATACAAAAACCAACCAACTCAAACACAAATAAGCAGCAGTTCAAACTCAAAAAACAAATATTTAAAAACACCAACAACACCATTTACAGTCATTTCTTTTCAACAGCACAAATGGGGCTTCTAACTCTATTGCACCCTTGGTTGGTCCTATCTATATACCTTCACTCAACCGCAAATGCCACAGTCACATTAGCATCACACAAAGCCAGGAGCCATGTCGACCACTGAAAGTCCGTCAACTTCAGAACATGACACTGCACTTGGTATGGATGATGTGATGTCAGAAGTTACAGATCTGGAGCAAGATGATCCTTCGCAGGATGTGCCTCATGAAATCCTTCAACGAAGAGTGTCAACAGCTTTGGGCAACGCTGGCTTTACTCCAAGCAACCTGGCTACACCGAGACCTGCAACTACCACAGTGTTGACAGTGAATGAACGTGCCAATGATCCCAGGGCACCTTGGAAGAGAAAATCGACTGCACCAGCACCAGTCCAGCAACTGACTGAGAAGCAGCTACAGAAATGGAAAAGAGACAAACAAAGAAAAAAACAAACGAGAGAAGAAACGGCAAAAGAAAAAGAAATTGCAAA